GATCATGGTTCAAAGCCAGCCCAAGCAGGAAAGTCCATGAGACTCTTCAATTAACCACCAGAAAACCGGAAGTGATGCTGTGATTCAAGCAGTAGAGCACTCGCCTTGAGCTGAAGAGCTCAGGGATAGCGCCCAAGCCCAGAGTTCAAGTCCCATGCCAGCCAAAAGTAAAAAATAAAATACATAGAATGCTTTGTGTAATGCTACAGACGTTCTGATGGTGTACCTGTATCTACTTAGCACATCAACAAAGGGGAAGGAACTACTCACACCTGCTCTGGTAGGTGGGGAATAGATTGAAGACTTAGTCCCTTCTCCTTTTATTAGAAGTGTATAACCTGAAAAGATGCTCTACAAAGCAAAAGAATGGCAGTAGCAGGAGGCTTCAAAGAAAGGATGACTTCTTTAAAAAATATATTTTGTTTATCTTTAAGTAGCTATACAAAGGAGTTGCCATTTTAAAAAGCCGTTTGTGAGTAAAATTCATCTTGGACAAGGTCACCCCTTTCAAATTCTCCCCATCCCACTCAACCTCACCCCTCCTCTTACTTTTGTTTTTTTTCTTCTTTTTTGGTCTGTTGTGGGGCTTGAACTCTGGGCCTGGGCAATGTCCCTCAGCTCTTCAGCTCAAGGCTAGTGCTCTACCATGAGCCACACTGCCACTTCCGATTTTCTGAGTGGTTTATTGGAGATACCAGTCTCCCGGAGTTTCTTGCCTGGGCTGGCTTTGAACTGTGGTCCTCAGATCTCAGCTTCCTGTGTAGCTAGGATTATAGATGCTCTCCCTTTTCTTAAGTCTGTAGGCTATTTATTGATTTTATGACTGCATTCTCCTCTTCCATTTTTTAAAGCTAAAACTGAAGTTGAGAAGAGCTTCTTCCTGCACTTTGCATTACTTGGCTAGGGAATAAAGGAAAACAAATACAGGCAGTCATAGGCAATTCAATATTATACCTTCAAATGTATGTTGCTATCAGCCTGGGGCCTTTTACTAGCTGTCTTTCTAGTCTGAGCTCACTTCCAATGGACAGCAGCAAGTTCCAGTCCCACAAGTACTAACATCTCCTCCCCTCAACAAGGTTCAGACCAAAACAGCAAGGTTTACAACATGTGGATTACAACACCTGAGAATCAACTCCTGCAAGAAAGATCATACTACTTAACAGTGTGGTCCATCCACTGCCCAAAAGAAGATAATCTCAAAATAACCAGATAAGCAACATAAATAGACAATGGAAATAGTCACTCGGTATAAGGCAAGGAGTCTTTTCTTTAAACAGAGAAAAATATTCATTAAATAGGAATTGTGTCATCCTTAAAAGACTGGCTAGACATCTATATAGTTTGGCTATATTCTATCAAGAAACAGATATTTCAAGGCTCCAGTGGTATAGCACCTTCCTAGAGAGTACAAGGCTTTGAGTCCAAACCTCAGTTTAAAAAAGAGAGCGACAAATATCTTGAATGTAATGATATCTCTGTTCTATCACACTGTGTGTAATGTCTGTTTACTTATCTGTATCTACCACTAAATTGTAGGTAGAGGGTTTTTTTTTTGTTTTTGTTTTTGGTGGTTGTGGGGCCTGAACTCTGGGCCTGGGCACTGTACTTGAGCTCTTCAGCTCAAGGCTACCACTTGAGCCACAGCACCACTTTTTCTGCTTTTTCTGCTTATGTGCTGAGGAATTGAACCCAGGGCCTCATGCATGTAAGGCAAGCACTCTACCACTGAGCCACCTTCCCAGCCCGGTAGAAAAAATTTATTCACTCCCATTCTCTTTTGTATCAAAAGCTAGCCTACTCGGGGGCTAAGATCTACCAGAAAGGCCATAAGACTTTTTTTTAAATAAAATTTTATAGTACTGGTTTCTTTTTTTTTAATTTTTTATTGTGAAAATACCATAAAGAGGGGTTACAATTACATGGGTAAGGTAATGAGTACATTTTGTATCAAGCATTGTTGCCTCCTCCTTTGTTTCCCCTTCCCATCCCTTTGCATCTCCACCGCCCCCCCCCAAAGTTGTAAAGTTCTTTTTTCCACATAATGACTTGTACATCTCATTGTTGCAATGGGTCCACCTGTATCCCTATTTAAATGGTTTGTTTTCGCCCTTCCCCTCCACAAATTATACCAACATCAAATACAATGAAAGCAGGATTCTTATCTCCAATTAATCAACAAAAGAGCCAGAAGTAGATTGGTGGCTCAAATGGTACAGTGCCATCCTTGAGTGCCATCCTTGAGCGATAAAGCTAGGGGACAGCACCCAGGTTCTGAGTTCAAACCCCAGTACCAACGTGAGCACATACGCGCGAGTCCTTGCATAGAGGTCCCTAGCACATAGGTAGACAACTATCAAAATACTGTGGAATTAATGTTTTCTTGAGTAGTAAATAGCTCAAAGGTAACAGCCAATTATATTCTGTATATCACTAATTATATTCTGTATATTATTAACTGAAACCTTGGAGAAATTGGAATGTAGATACTCAGAAAGCATGAATGGAAAAGTGGTCTGGTCTTAGATGCATCAGTCACTGTATACAATTGGGTAGGTTATTTACTGTAAGAGATTATCTAGTCCAAGGCACAAACTGGAGCAGAAAATCCAGTCCATGCTCCATTAGCCACACCATGAACCAAATCTGCCCACAAGAATCAATACTTTTTTTTTCAAATTCCTGCAAAAATTATCCTATACACTAGAGATGGTCCTGATTTAAATAATAACTTCACAGTGATCTCTGACAAGTTACATCCCAGGAGTAAGAATATTTGCCCTACTGACCTGATTTCAGAAAGGGAGTAGGTAAAACTGATGATTGCTGTTCTTGAATGGAAAACCGAGGTAGAAGATAGTTTTTCTCTGAAATCTGAAGATAGCAACAGACTTATAAAAACTTTTTAATCTAACATAAAATATTAATATATTTACATTATTTAATATAAAATAACTACAATGCCTCGGCATTCACCCTGATCCCAGAAAGTGAATTATAGAACCAAAGATTCATTAGAAGAAAATAGAAGTCCTGGTGACTCAAATTTATAATCCGAGGTACTCAGGAGGCTGAGATCTGGAGGATCAAGGTTCAAAGCTAGCCCAGGAGACTCCATCTGCAGCAAGGGCTGGAAACGTGAATCAAGTGTTGCGTACCAGCCACAGCAAGCCTTACTAAAGGCCCTGACTGAGCCAAGCCACTTGAAACTTAAAAAACAAAAAAAAAAAAACACTATTAGAAATCTTACAAGATTCTAGGCTTCCCTACTGAAAGGAACTTTATAGAGCTCATCTTCCAATAATCTCTTAATATTATAGATGAGGAAGCAAACGAGCCAAGATTAGGTGACTTGCCTGCAATTGTTAGTAAAGTTGAGGCTAGAATTATTTTCTGGCTTTCAACCTAGTCATCTTTTCACACTTGGCTGGGTGTGCAGTCAACGAAGATGGATTTGAGCACCCACTGAAGGGGGGAAAAGGCCAGGCATATGCACCTTGTTTCCACCAAGGCCCTTACAGTAAAAAGAAAACAGGAAATGGGAGCGTTGAACCCTGACAATGACACGAAGAGTCCCTGGAAGGAAGTCCAGTTGCTGCGTGGGGGTGATGACAGGAGGGAGCCTGGGTGGACCTGGGGTGGAGTGGCTTGTGTGGGCCTACAATTCAGTAGACACAAAGCAGGTGACCCAGTAGGTCCAGGTGAGACCGGAATCAAAGTCACGAACTTGAGCAAGCCAACTTTCTGAGCCCCTCCGGATGCGGAGGCCGGCGGGCTCATGACCCAAATTGCAAAGATGCGTGGGGGTGCGCCTCGCCCCAGCTGGGCCCGGCTCCCGCCCACCCCCCCCGCACCCTCCCACCCCCCGAAGCAGCAGTACAACTGACACGTGAAAGATCTCGGCAGGTTGTCGAGGAGGCCAAGGTAGGCCTCTGACCCGAGCCGACCCCGGGCCCTCGGAGGATAAAGGGCATGGGGTCTGCGCGCGCGCTCAGGGCCGGCAGAGACGAAGTTTCCGGGGTGACGGGTGGGCACGCGCGCGCGGCCGAGGGGGGGGCGTGGCCAGAACACCAAGCCCCGCCCACGTCGGGTGCGTGACAATGGGGCGGGTCCCAGAACGCCGCTGCGGCGGCCGCGGGCCTCGGGGAGAGGCGGAGCCGCCGCCGCTGCCCGCCGCAGCCCCGTTCGGGATTTGAAAAGATTAAAAACTCCCCGCGGAGAGGGCGGCGGCGTTGGATGTGTGGCGGAAGCGCTGGGGGCCACGGCTCGGCGCGCGGCCGGGCAGCCGGCGGCGTCTGGACACCATGAATTATCCGGGCCGCGGATCCCCGCGGAGTCCGGAGCATAACGGCCGGGACGGCGGCGCCTGGGAC